TCCAAGTAATCCATACATACAAAGAAAACAATACAAATAAGTTCAGAAATTAAGTTCTGTGTAATAAAATGGAATGACCCAGGGAGAAAGTATTGGACACATGAAGAAAGGGGGGTGCAAAAAGGCATGGAAAGCCAAGACACCAGCAGAAATCTATCAGTAATTAGAAAGCAATCCTGCCCCTAGTAAGTGGAAATTAATATTAGTTGGTTCAGTCCCAACTGATGGCTTATAAAAAGTTGTCTCATTACCAACGTGTCACACAAGAACCATTTCATGATCGGTAAAAGCAAAGAGCTTTCTCAAGACCTTCACAACCTTATTGTTGCAAAACATACTGATGGCATTGGTTACAGAAGGATTTCTATACTTCTGAATGTTCCAGTGAGCACTGTTGGGGCCATAATCCTGAAGTGGAAAGAAAATAATTTCACCATAAACCGTCCACGACCAGGTGCTCCTCGCAAGATTTCTGACAGAGGAGTGAAAAGAATTATCAGAAGAGTTGTCCAAGAGCCAAGGAACACTTGTGGAGAGCTTCAGAAAGACCTGGAATTAGCATGTACAATTGTTTCACAGAAAATAATAAGTACAATAAGTAATGCACTCAACCACCGTTGCCTGTATGCACGTTCGCCAGACAAGGCTCTATTGCTGAAGAAAAAGCATGTTGAAGCTCGTTTAAAGTTTGCTGCATAACATTTAGACAAGCTTGTGAAATACTGGGAGAATATAGTCTGGTCCGATGAGACCAAATTTGTACTCTTTGGATGCCATAATACACACCATGTTTGGAGGTCAAATGGCACTGCACATCACCCCAAAACATCATGGTGTAGCACTGCAAAATTCATATAATTGAAGGAAGGATGAATGGAAAAATGTACCGAGACATTCTTGATAAAAATGTGCTGCCATCTACCAGGATGATGAAGATGAAACAAGGGAGGACATTTCAGCAAGACAAAGATCCCGGACACAGAAAATAAAGCTGCTAGAATGGCCCATGCAATCACCTGACTTGAGTCCAATAGAAAATAAGAACTAAAGATCAGAGTTCATAGAAGAGGACCACATCACCCCAAAACATCATGGTGCAGCACTGGCAAAATTCATATAATTGAAGGAAGGATGAATGAAAAAATGTAACGAGACATTCTTGATAAAAATCTACTGCCATCTACCAGGATGATGAAGATGAAACAAGGGTGGACATTCCAGCGAGACAATGATCCCAAACACACAGCCAAGGAAACTCTCAATTGGTGTGTGTATACTCAGGCTCGTTCGTTCCTTTGACTCCAGGATATGCACATGCCATCTGGAGCTCTGTTCTTGTAATTGCTGTTATTTCAAAGACCATTTCTCTGTGCTTTTGCAGGCGACTATGCCGGCTTCCCTGGTTGTGGCCTTCTCCGTTTACACAGCACTTACCGCCATGACCTCAAAATTTACGCATCAGATGAGGGTCGTGTGCAGATGACTGCGGCGGCTTTTGCAAAGGTTTGTTGGGTTTTGTCTGCTGGGTATGTTGGTATTACATAATGATTTTAGATGGGATTGATATAAACCACAGTAGATTAACAGTGGCGCTCAAAATTGTGCTGTTTTGCTTGTTTGTTTTTTTTTTATTTTGTTTTGCGTTTTTATCTATTGTTTGTTTTATTTGTTTTTTTTAATGCTTGATTTGCTTGTTTTTAACATTTATTTTGGTATTTTTTCACACTTTAATACTGTTTTAAAAAAAAAATTATATTATATGTAAATGATCTATTATTTGGTGCATCTTACATTACATTTTTTTTCAAAATCATATGTATTGTATCCAGGTTTAAATTAGATTTTTTTTGTTGCCCCCCCACTGATTATTTCACACATTCATTTACATTGAAACTTTACGTGTGGCTGTATTCAGGGTCTGTTAGCACTGGAAGGAGAGTTGACTCCAATCCTCGTTCAGATGGTGAAGAGTGCCAACATGAACGGACTGCTGGACAGTGACAGCGACTCTCTCACTGACTGCCAGCAGAGAGTCAAAGCTCGATTACATGAGATTATGCAGAAGAACAAAGACTTCAATGAGGAGGACTACAGCAAGGTGAAGCGAGTTACAACTGCTTATTTAAAAATGACTCAGTCTAACTAAACTAGTCTTAAAATTGTCCTGTCTATTTAAGTTGGCTTCAACAGGCAGCCCATCTCTGGTGAACTCTATGGAGGTAATCGTCAATCCAGTCAGTACTTGTGATCGAGTTCACACACTCATTAAAAGCCTTACGTGTCAGATCTGTAAAAGGCTGGAAGACCCCAAATCTGCAGGTTTGCCCTCTTTGGCTTCTTAGAAGGACAAAAATGATATATATATATATATACTGTATGTATATTTTTATATATATATAAATATATAATTTTTAATTTTCACAGATCTACAGCTATACCACAGTGAGACTCTGGAGCTCATGCTGCAGCGCTGGTCCAAACTGGAGCGTGACTTCCGCATGAAAAACGGCCGCTATGACATCAGTAAGATCCCAGACATCTATGACTGTGTGAAATACGACACCCAACACAATTCTTCTCTGGGGCTGGAGGACACGCTGGAGCTTTTCCGTCTGTCCAGGGCACTTGCAGACATCATTATCCCACAGGTAGAGGAATCGCGGTGAATAGTGTTCATTTATTCTCGCTCACCTTGCTGTTAGCTGCATACATGCTCTCTTTCAGGAGTATGGAATCACTAAAGTAGAGAAGCTGGATATCGCCAGTGCCTACTGCCTGCCTCTGGTCAAGAAGATTCAGCTGGATCTTCAGAGAACACATGAGGACGAGGCCGTCAACAAGCTGCATCCACTGTGAGTCTCTGTACTGGGGTACAGTGCCTAACTCTTTGACCGAGTGAAGGCTAAATCACCTTTTGCATACTATACAGTTCATCCTGTATAGTGCGTTAAATTACTATTAGTACATTCCACTTCAGCAGTCATGCAGGTTTTTTTGTGGTTATTTTACTCACAACCCCTTGCGCTTAACTTTTAGCTTTATTTATGAATGTATTTATTTATTGGCCATAGTTAATGCTTTGTTGAAAAGCTTTGGCATGTCAAATTTATTAATTGATATCCATTTTACTTGCACTAAAATGGTGAACAGTGAACAGTTAGACTTCAGCAATCCAAATTTTACCAAACCAAATTTTTGACCATTTTGAAAGAAAATAATTATTTATTTATTGATTGATTGATTGATTTCAATATTGTTGATATTGATATTGTTAGGGTTTTTTTAGTCACAGTTTTTGTATTTTGATGAAAATGTTTATCATGCCATATTTATTAAATAAATATAAATGCAATCTGTTAATATTTATTAAATGTAGTCGATTTTACTAATGCACTAAAATAGCATAACATTTTGTCAGCATTTTTATTTAATTTTTTTTGTTGACGATGTGTCAAATAATAGCAAACCAGACCAAAAGTTTTGAACATTTTGAAAAATGTATAAATATTAATTTGTTTAATGCTTATTTTCAAAAGTTTTGACATTTGAAGATTTTTTTGTTTGTTTTAGTAATAGTTATTTTATTTTGATGAAAATCTTTGTCAAAATGTAGTACATTTTGCTTGCACTAAAATCCATACAGATTTTTTCAATGAAATTAACATTTTTAACACATTTTTTTGTTGACAGTACTATGTAAAATAGCAAAACAAACTTAACATTAAAAAATAAAAATGTATGTCTAAAAATAATTTTATATTGATTATTTGTATTTTTATATTGTATGTTTATATATTATTTTATTTGTTTTTTTTTGTTGATTAATAGTAGTGCCATCATAGACCGTTTAAAAATGATCAACTTTTGACATTGCTAATCTGTCTTAATGCATACTTAAAAGTTCCCACTTTTCCATCAAAACCATGCAGTACGTACTTCAGCTATCATGTTATACAACCTCACATTGTTGTAGAAGCTCTGCAGACTCAGAACCTGTGAGTGATCAGGTTGTGTATTTCATTCCTCCTGGTGGTTCAGGTACTCGCGGGGCGTGATGTCTCCGGGTCGACATGTTCGAACCCGGCTATATTTCACCAGCGAGAGCCACGTCCACTCCCTGCTTAACATCTTTCGCTACGGAGGCCTGTTAGACGTGAGTAAACAAACGTCAAACATGCACGTTTAATGCAGGTTACTACTTGCTCTATCTTATCTGTGTTTGTTTAGGAGCAAAAAGATGAACAGTGGAAGCAGGCTATGGACTACCTCAGTGCTGTTTCCGAACTCAACTATATGACACAGATTGTTATTATGCTGTATGAGGACAATAACAAGGTACAAGATGTGGCATCAGCTGTTTGTACTCAATTTCTATGCTTCTTTCATATGCTGATATGCGTGTCTGTAGGACCCCTCCTCAGAGGAACGTTTTCACGTGGAGTTGCACTTTAGCCCGGGAGTGAAGGGGTGCAAGGATGAGGATAATGCACCAATGGGTTTTGGCTTCCGGCCTGCCTCCTCAGAGGTCTGTGTTTCACTCGCCCCAAGGATTGTATTTATTTCAGACCACATTACTCTGCTGAGCTTTGGAATTTATATACAACTTTCTAAGAAATATTGCATGCTGGATGGTCTGGACCACTTCCAACACTCCCATTTCATGCTGAACCTTGGATTTTATGTACAACTTTCTAAGAAATATTGCATGCTGGACCACTTCCAACACTTCCATTTCACATGTAACAGAACCACGAGAAGCAGACAAACCCAGGCAGTCTTGAAGACCTTTCCCAAGACGAGCCCGACAGAGTCGCACTGACTGAGCCAATCAGCATTCAGAGGAAGTCGCCACTCATACGAGGCCGAAAGGCTGGATCTATGGAGGTACAGTACTGTACTAGGCTCTTCTAGTAGGCTTTCATTTTCTTTATTTGATTAACTGCCGCAATAATCAAAAAATGGACACAAACATTTACTTTAAATGAAATTAATTTTACTGCCAACTGTGTGGTGATAATTGTGCAATGTTAATGGCGCAGGGCAAATAGCAGTGAGTTTTGTGAAGACCATATAGTCTAATCTATGAGTTTATGATGGCATTCTGTGAAAATTTGAGAAGAAAGTTAACATGTGAAATTAAGGGTAACACTTTAATTAGAGCCATTATGTATAATGCATTATAAAAGTAGTTTTAAAGCCTTGTAATCCACCTTATAATGCATTGTACAATCTCATGAATAATTGTAACCACGGGTAATACATTATAACACTTATCAATTCATTGTTACATAATGCATTTTAAATTTGGTTATAATAATTTATGACAAGATATCATGCATTACAATGTACATTATGAATAATTATAATGCATTAAACATAAAGGCTTTAAGAAAAGTGTTACCTAATTAAGATATTGATTAAATGTTTTGGATGACATTTTAACAATTTACCTTAATGACAGTATAAAATGCAATTATTAAATTTTGGAAACAATTACAGTGCTATATTTAATTACAAAAATATTGATCATAAATCATACAGTAATATTTTCTCACGTAGTATAATGATTTGAAATGTTTGTGCTCTGTAATATATATATATTTTTTTAATTAATACTTTTATTGAGCAAGAATGCCTTAAATTGATCAAAAGGGACAGTAAACAATTATAATGTTACAAAAAATTCTGTTTTAAAGAAACTATTATCTTTGCCTTTCTACTTAAATAATCCTGAAAAAAATGTATCATGGTTCAACCCTCTACATTGCGAGTAAATCACTCGCATATGCGACTAAATCTTCACTCTGGGCGACTAAATGATGTCTAATATTAGCCAATGGCTAATAAATTCTCAGATTTTACTCGCCAGTGTGTGAGTTGGAGGTTAAGTGTAGAGTTTTATAAATATCTGAAACTGTACTTATATATAATATATTTATAAAAAAAATTTGATCAGCCTGGCGAGTAAACAAAAAAATGTACTAGCCAATGGCGATTCAATTGCCAAGGTGTCCGTAGAGGGCTGTGATTTCAACAAAAATATTAAGCAGCACAACTGTTTTCAGCATTAAGAAATGTTTCTTCAGCACCAGATCATCATATTATGATTTCTGAAGGATCATGTTTGAATCTTTGAACGGTTGTGTATATTTAAAAATATATAAATAATATTTATATTCCTTCACAGTAGTCATCATACAGGGGTATAATTTAAAAACTGAGTAACAAGCTGAATTTATTTAGAAAGAAGGAATGTTTGTGCTAAAATGATTATCAATGCTATTTTGTGTATATGTATATTTTTTATGTGTGTCCATATGATTTTGTTTTCCTCTCTTTGCAGGCTCTTTCAGAGAGCAACACTTCTTCTCGAGGGCTGGCGTATCGCATCTTCCCATCGTCTTCTCGTCAGTCACCTGAGATCAAACCCAGCGGGCTAGGTGGGAATTACATTTCACTTGTGTTGTTTTCATGTAGCACATCTCTCCTGTCATCGGTCTCATTGGAAAAACCATCCCGGTTGACCGTTAAACGCACTTGTTTCTGTTTAGCGCCAATGACACAGTTCAAGGACCCTTCTCAAGTTTATTTAAGTCATGTGCGTCGGAAATGCGTCCATGCTGCCAGTAGTGGTCTAAATATGGCTGCTGGCAGGGCCTTCTCTTCTATTCTTGTCTATACTATTTCTGTCTCCAAAGAACATTTACAGGGCCACAGTGCACAGAGTTTCGTAGGTTCGGCGTTGCATAATGTTTAGAGATTGTGGCTAATGTTGTTTGCACCTCACTAAACCTTTAAAGCATGATTTGCAGATCACTATTTTCTTAACTAAGTGCATGTTGCATATGGCATGTCTTTCATTTGAGCTTTTAAACAAGTGCTGTTTTTTTTCAGTACTACCCTCTAGTGGTTGCAGTTAGAGATGTGCTTTTGTTCTTTAGAGCCTCAGACCTTAAATTACATTTGTTAGTGTTTCACCCTCCTGCACTGGCAATATATTTATGTTCCCAGCCGAAGACCAGCAGTTTAACTGGGTTTTCTATAAAAAAAAAGTTCTCTATATGCCTGGAATTGAGCTTAAAGGAATAGTTCAGCCAGAAATTAGTCAAAAATGGGTCAGTGAAAAATGAAAGTGTACAAGAAGACAAAATCTTTTAAAAATCTATTTTAAAATGCTTGTGCAAAGTTATCTGCATTCGTTTTGGGTTAATATGGTTCTGAAAAACTTTTATAGAATTTGCAACAAACATTTACATTTAAGTACTTAATTTAATAAGAATTTAATTGTGAAAAAAAAAAAGAAAAACCACAGAGTAATAACAAGCATGTTCCACAGTTAGCCTAGTAGTTATTTTTTAGGGTAAATATTTTATACCTATTAAGAGTTATTAATTAATAAAATGTTATATTTTAATAAAAAATGTAATATATGTTTTTCCTACATTTGCATTTAAACTTCATTTGTGACATATTTGTTTTCAATGATTTATTAATTTATTTAATATAATAATATAAATTTAATTTACATATTATAATTATTAATATAAAAAGAAATTATAACAATTATTTATGGTAAAATGTATAATATTTTAACAATATTTTAATAATATGCTAAATAATATATATTAAAGATTACATTAAACTACATATTCTTTTCAATTGTTGTATTACCCTGGTATTTTTTACTTTATGCCCTAAAAAAAAAATTAACAGGATAGCTCACTCAAATTAAATGATCCGTTCTAAAACATTTCTGAATTAAAAAAATATATATATAAAAAATTTACATTTTAATTCAGAAATGTTTTAGAACGGATCATTTAATTTGAGTGAGCTATCCTGTTAACTTCTTCACATGAAGAGCTGCATGTTCACTTGTGAAAACTAACCATCACCCCCCTCCCCTATCCCCACCCGCTACACCCTACGGTCTCCCTCCCCTCCCACACACAGGCGCCCAGTGTGCGGGCCTCTTCAGCGCCTCCTTCCCCAACCTGAGAGACCTATCACGAGTTCCTCGCAAAAAGCCCTCCTCGCTCAGGAATCGGTCTTCTCAAACCGGTATGTCCCAAACACACACACACACAGGGTCATAATGTACCTCAGCCACCTTTGACCTGAAGATTCAAATTATCACAAACGTCCCAGCAAACAATTCTTCTGAATAATGTCTAGATATTCCCATTTTACTTCATTCAGTGTGACAAATAATGTTGAATAGCATTCAATATTCCTACTTTCAGTAGTAGTTTTTCAACATACTTGACATTTTAGTCTAGCCTTCAAAGACATCCCAAATCAAGCCATTACACACAGCAGGAGCTGTTCCTAAACTATTTGCGTCTAGCTGTTTATCAGTGTCTCTCGTTGGAAAATTAGGTTTCCACAGTTACCGAATAATGTTATGATTAATCGTTTGTCACCTTTGCTACCTCCAAACGGCTTATTTGCATGCTGCATGTGCATGTAAACAAACATTTGTTTCATAATTTGCTAAATTGCTCAAATTTGCAAGCTATTTTATGCAAAAGGGAAACATTTTAGTGTCCTACGACAATTCTGAAAATGTGTTTGTAATGGATAATATCCATGGCAACACAAATTACTGCTTTTACCACAATCTCTAACTGATATTATGGTTATTTTCAAAACATTTATTGGAAATTGCACTCCAATTTCATATGTGGAAACAAATGCGTTTTCTCTGTCCCTGTCAGGATTAAATACTTTATTTGAAATGATTATTTGAAGTGAATTATTTATTATTAGTATTCTTGTTTTATTATAGTTATTTTTATTATTATTAATAATACTAATCGAAATGAATGTTCACCCCTCACTTTCTTAGCAGCATTAATAGTTTTGTCCACAGGGTGTTGCTGTGTCTCTGAGATATAGAGGATTACCTTGTGGAAGACATTTGAAATGGCACCCAAAATACTGCCATGTCATGCTGCATCCAAAAGGATGCTGTAGCACAGAGAATTCTGGGTAGTTTGTTGTGACATCTGTTGTTTTTTTTTGTTACTCTATCTCCACATTCAAGGGCAACATCTGGCCCCACTGTTACTTTTACCAGCTTGTTATAGATGGTTTTACGAGGGACAGAAAGATTGCATGATGGTGGGAGGATTAAAAATGCTGGTGGTTTTGAGTAAAAGCGAAAGCTCACGAGGGGCGCAGTGACACGAGTAATGCCGAATGCCTCTTTTATCTCCTCAGAGCTGCTCTCTATGCCGGCAGTAAAGAGATTTTCTGTGTCGTATGCCAGGCATCCGACTAATGGTATGTTTGGAGTTTTTTGAGTGCATGTTTTTTTGTTGACACTCTCCTGCATGCCCTCTGCTGCTGCTAGTCTTCGTAATTTAGTACCGTTTGTGATTTCTGTTTCATTTATTTTATGAATCAGGGAGGCTTTTCTTCACCTTTTTCATTTAGATTCACAAGACACACCCATCTTAATTCATTTCTCCTTCTGATTGGCTTGCTGCATGGGTTGTGTACCGAATATATCACTCTGGATATATTGCTTTTTGTGTGGAAAAACGTGTGAACACCATTCATGTTGATCCACTTGATTCAGAAATGGTTAACCCTTCCACCACATGGCATATGCATTACTTTAAATGCGTCAAAGTAGACGTCTTCATTGCAAAAGAAATCATAGTCTTAATCAATATTAAATAATTAATAATTATATAAATATTTATTTGAGGAGGAAAAACAGCATGATATTAAGACTCTTCAGAGAATTTTTTGTTATTTATTTATTTATTTATTACTAGAATTAAAAGCATAAAAAAATTATTTCAGCCATGGCAACATTTTTAATTTCAGTTTATTTTAGTTTGATATACTAAAATAAATAATAATAAAAAAATATATTGACTATATAGAATAAAAACTATATATATAGACCATTTTAAAACACATCAAACACATCAAAATTACTAAATATTTAACTGAAATTAAAAAAAATATATATAATAATTTTTGCAGTGTTTCAATATAGTTATTGTAATATATTAAAGCACTTTTGCCAGTGGGGATAATGGATACACTTCACACTTTGCATGATGGTCATAGATGCTAATGGGGTGAGGGTTAACATCTGTTTTTACTTGAATCATTATCTTGATTGAAATGAAATTTATGAAAATGATGTGCATTTTTATTTTAACAAACTTGTTCATGTATGCAGGGCTTTATATTTGCATGATCTTATTGATTGTTTCTATACATCTTGTTAAGTAGAAGCTGAAATGTGTCAAAGCTTCAATTAGTATTTACCAAGTGTTTGACTTTCTTACATTTTGCGACTTTTGAGAGACATTTAAGATGATCATTATATTCACATTCACAAGTTTTCCTCACGAAGCAAGTCTGTTGCTGAGGGATTGAACCCTTATAAAATGATGCAGATGTTTAGCACAAGGCTTTGTCGAATGTGGGCGTCTCTGTAGGGATTTGAGCTCAGACGGGTTTTGGTGAGGTTGAAGTGTTTTTCTCCACACAGTACAGCCTAGGGAAGAGCTGAAATGATCGAACTCTGCTTATTTCATTTGACACTTTAACACAGCTTGAGGGAAACTCATTTTTGCCACGAGTCTAAAAACCCTTCAGACAGGCTAACTATGTGTTTCCTATCAACATGTGTCAGTCATTTTTCCAGCCATTAAGCATATTTGTCAAGACCAAGGAAGATTTACGTGCTATTATATACTGGTCAGATAATATTGTGTATTATGCAGTATTATATGTATGCTCTTTAAAAATTAGTTGCATATAACAGAAGTGCATGGAAAAAATAGCTTCAGTGCAGGATTATTGCTGCTTGTTACAGCTGACTTTGTTTGAATGACTCACTATGTTATGAAACTTCAGGAGTGTTTGCATGCACTGTGAAACCTAATCTATTCAAATGTTTCATTCAAATACAAATAGCATAATTTGAACGTTAGTTGATATTGCAAAGAGCTTTGCTCAATCGTTAAGCTCTGTTCGGAGAGTTCGCTTCGTACAGGGACTCTAATTGCACTCTAGTTGCCTCTGAAAATAGTTGTAGGTCCTGACAAAACCAAAAACATTCATTTCAGCTCATTAATTGTGTTGCTGAGTCACTGGCAAAAACATCTCAGCAGGGGTTGAGGCAGTGGATCCTCATTGCTGTGTGCTGCAGTGGCCTCTCCTTCCTCTTCCTCCTCCATCTCTGTCATCCCTTTGTTCCCCCTCAACCTGCAGTGTTTAGTTCCCTCCCGAATCCCCGAAGCCTTCGCTTCCCTACGGCCCACACCATCCATCCATCCTCCATCTCTGCCACATCTTTGCTTACCTCATCCCTCTCCCTCCTGTCCTCCTACTCTCCCTCCTCTTCCTCCTGTTACTCAGTGGATTTGAATTATTCTGCTTATGAATCTGACTCAATAATTAACTAATGACAGTTTATGATTTTATTAAATTGAAACATTTTTATTCATAAAATTATCACAAATTTGAAATAAAGGGTACTTTTAAAAAGTATCACTATCTTCTATTCTCCATCTTCCCAAAATTCCATTTTTTTAAGTTATAGTAATATTAAATAAATGTATATGTGTACTTATTTACTACAGATTAATTTGTAATACTTTTTTAAATTAACACTACTCTTTACCTCCTTCTCCTCTGCTTTCCCAGAATTGCTGTGCCTGGACTTTTTAAAAAATTACATTACAACTTTTATTTAAGTATTTGTTTTTCGTATATAAATGTAATATTTTTGTATATAAATTACAAATGTGACCCTGGACCACAAAACCAGTCATAAGGGTCAATTTTTCGAAATTGAGATTTATACATCATCTGAATAAAGCTGAATAAATAAGCTTTCCATTGATGTATGATTTGTTATGATAGGACAATATTTGGCCGAGATACAACTATTTGAAAATCTGGGGGTGCAAAAAAAAAATCTAAATATTGCCTTTAAAGTTGTCCAAATGAAGTTCTTAGCAATGCATATTACTAAACAAAAATTAAGTTGTAATATATTTACAGTAGGAAATTCACAAAATATTTTCATGGAACATGATCTTTACTTAATATCCTAATGATTTTTGCCATAAAAGAAAAATCTATAATTTTGACCCATACAATGTATTTTTGGCTATTGCTACAAATATACCCCAGCGACTTAAGACTGGTTTTGTGCTCCAGGGTCACAAATAAGAAAGGAATAGTACTAAAAACTGTCATTACTCTTTCCTTTCCATCTTTTCCTCTGTCTTCCCAGAATTGCTGTCCCTGGACATTTGATATCCCTCTCTGTTGCTAACCTTCACCTCTTGCATCCATTCAGTCCTTTTTGTCCTCATCATTCTCTCTCTCCTGTAGCGCTCTTAAATGAGCATCAGGTGGTAAAGCTGTTAGCTGGGCTCCACCACCTACACCGCTGCTCCTACCACCTCCGCCTGCTCCTTGCTGGCCAGAAACCCCCAGAATGCCTCTCTGGTCAGCACTCTTGTTACTTGCTCAGTCCTTCCCCTGCTTCATGTCTTACTACCTCATTTTTGATGTACACGTGCAAAGTGTGTGATGCTTCAGCTTATGCCAAAGTGTTAGTTATCTGCTCTGCTCTTTTATCTGACTTCTTGCTTTTCTTCATTCTTCACTCAGTGGCCTTTCTTTCTGCTATATAACATCTCATAACCTCTGTTCCTCTTTTCTTACCGCATGCCTGTACATATGGCTTGGTGAATGTGAAGATCACTTGCTTATGTTGACGTCTACATAGAGTAAGTATAATGCTCTTGCAGCTTTTTACATGTTTATTAGAGTAACTTGATTGACGAAACGTTACCATTTCCCAAGACAGAAAAATTATCCACAAGAGGCCTGTAGTTACATTTATTTTACCACCATTATTGAGTGTTCTCATGCTTTGTGCTCTAATACCCTCTTAACCATGGTAAAATCAATGTAACGATCAAATCAGTGATCTCCAGTGGCATATTGCTTTTAAAAACTAGAAACCAAATTACTGATGTTCAATATAAAATTTTATTTCAAATAATTAATATATACACACATAAACTTGGCTTGGTGAATGTGAAGAATTTTGAATATAATATATAAAAAATATTGTGTAAGGTAATGTAACCTGTGTAAGGAACATGAATGTGCATCAAACCTTGCTTGTGCCCATAAATAATTCAAAGGTTTTGTATTTTAATTGTATTTTTATTGTGTGTGTTTATTGCATGCAATATGGTGTGTACAAACCAGAGTATGTGAGCGGAGTGGAGCGACAACAATTTCCCCTCCGCACTCCGAGCATTTAATAATCACTCCGCTCCGAGTTCACCATTTCCTGCTCCTGCTCCACTCCTCGCTCACTGATATCAGAAACACCGCTCCGCGGCTAAAGTATTTCAGTATGTTTGAAATATCACAGTTCTGTTCATAACGTATATTAAAAGAAAAAAAAAAAATAAATAAAATGACAGGAGCGTTTCAAAGTGGATTATTGGAACATTAGTGTGCAAACTTTTTTCCTACCACATGACAAGCTAATAACATGGTTGTCAGCATTAAAAGGTAGGCTATTGATTCTTTTTGCAGTGCAAATTTTGTTTGTGATGAAAATAACAGTACGTTTTCGTCAGTTATTTTACCTACGGATTGCTGCATTTCTTACAGATTTCTGCTAATTCAAAATCAGATGGAGATGAAGTAGCACTGTACAAGATTACATTTGTTTGAATGCATTATTGAGAGAGCGATTTGCGTGTGAATGTGTTGTACCTGTTTAAATCATGATTTCACCTGAAAATATTCAGTATCTAGAGGGAACAAACAAATTCCTTAATAACTACCCTATAACTTCCCGCTATGTCATTGCCGTCAACATAGCCTTCACATTCTTTCTGATTTGAGTGATCCTTCTCGATCAAGCTAGCTAAATATGTTTAACGTGAATTCTTGCTAAATGTGCAGTTATATTACGGGCCGTTGGCATAAATTGTACTCGTGATGGAGCGCTCTTGGAACGAATGAAAACCACGATGCTCCGACTTTTAAAAAATCTGCTCCTCGCTCCATTCATAATCACACCGCTCCACTCCGTGCTCCGCTCCCACTCCGCTCCGTTCACATACTCTGGTACAAACTGCATGACTAGATTTGCTATGCTAAACAAAGCAGCCTGGCACACTTGATTTCAGTAGGGTTAAATGAATATCATCATCCAAACTGTATATTATTGCTCTTTTGAAACTCAAAATGATTTGTTCATAAATCAGGACTGATTTGTTCAGAAAATTCGACTCACTAACTGAATGACCTGCTTGCAAAAGTTAGGCCACACAGTTCAATCTGATTACCAACTATTGTAAAGGACAGACAAGAACTACAGTGCACCCGGCTTATGAGATAAAGAAAGAAAGCTTTTTTTAACAATATGCAAATCTTTCATATCTTATAAAGTGCTGAATTAAACTGATTCTAAGTAATTATGTTCTTTTTTGTCATTATTAAACTGGGAAAGTGTACCACTTCCATTTACACATTTTCAATTAGCAAACAAAGAAGTAATTAAATACATTTCAATATAATGGGGTCATTAAAGTGCGTTTCTCCAGCATTGCATTTTAAATGACAGTTTCTCTAATCTTTTTATTGGTTAGTTGGTCTAATTGGTTTATTAGTCTGCAGCAGTCCGTCCTAATTCTCTCTGCGTTAAACTGATGTTAATGCCTTGCAAATGAGATGCAAAACACTTTGCTAGTGGACCGAAGTTCTAGAACTTGTTCATTTTCATCAAATTAATTGTAAAGATGCGTCACAAGCCAACATAGAACATTGCGATTCCAGTTGCATCATGGTGCTGTTGTTCCATCTTTGAGATTTTCTGGGACCATTGGCGAAATGGTGTTGGGTGGTGTTTGTTTGGCCATACAGTGCTTGTAGGTCACAAGAGGTTGGCTTCATACTCCATACAAGAGCTCAAAGTGTGTTCATGGGATATCTGTAGTGATGGCTGCCACTGAAAGAATTTGTGTTTTTGGACCATGTGTTGGTGCAGGGTTTGAAGGTTGCTCCTTGGTACCCTCCATCTATCCACTGGAGACACTGCACAACTCGCTGTCCCTCAAGCAGGTGGATGAGTTCCTCACCACGTTGTGTAAAAACGGGAGCGAGACACAATTCAAGAGGCTCAAATGTAAGTGGATGAATACTTTATGACGTTCATTGTTACACTTGATTATCATTAAATCTATTTTACATGAGGATGTTGATCACACTTGCATTAAAGTTAAAAGTATTTACACTGAACTGACACCAAATGCCAGTGTATAGCTATAAACTGCTTAAATTGTCTGAATTGCCACTTACATTTAAAATAGGCCTTAGTGTTTAGGTTCTTTATTGACGTCAACGGTTCCATGAAGAACCTTTAACATCCATAGAACCTTTCCATTCCACAAAAGTGGATATAGGTTATAGTGGAAAAAGGTTCTTTAGATTTTTAAGATGTTCTTCACACTAAAAATGCTTTTAAACAACTGTTCACTGAAAGATTGTTTGGGGAACCCAAAAATAGTTCTTCTGTGGCATCGCTGTGAAAACCTTAATTTTTAAGAGTGTATATTCTTTTCTTTTCTCTTTAGCCCTGTCTGCCATGTTTGAGTCACACTCCCAGCCATCCTTAGATGTTGATAATCAGGAGACACCAATATCAACCCCGGTCCGGAACCAACCAGCTTCACAGTCTCTCTGGTGTAAGTATACTTCACTTTACCATCATATACACCCACTTTATTAGGTACACCTTGCTTGGACCTTCTTTTGCCTTCAGAACCGCCTTAATTCTCCATGGCATAGATTCAACAAGTTGCTAAAACATTCCAGAGAGATTTTTGTCCACTGATATGAGTGTAGTGAACTCATTGTCATGTTCAAAAAATCAGTTTGACACAATTTGAGCTTTGTGACATGACACCGCTGCTGAAAGTAGCCATCACAAGATGGATACACTGTGGCCATAAAGGACATGGCCATAAAACCCTAGAGATGGTTGTTTGTGTGTGAAAATCCCAATGGATCAGCAGTTTGTGAAATACTCAGACCAGCCTGTCTGGTACGAACAACCATGCCATGTTCAAAGTCACCCAAATCACCTTTCTTCCCCTTTCTGATGCTCTGTTTGAACTTCAGCAGATCATCTTGACCATGTCTGCATGCCTAAATGCATTGAGTTGCTGCCATGAGATTGGCTGATTACATATTTGTATTAAGGAGCAGTTGAACAAGTGTTCTAGTAAAGGCAAATGTTTGACATGTTATTGTCATCTTATAACTGTCATAGTACCTTTTTTCATTAGGATAAGGCACTTTTGAGGGCACTTTAAATGGTCACTCTTACTGGACGAGACATGAAACCTCTTATTTGGTGCAAAATTTAGTTGTCAGGTTTATTCTAGTTTTTAGCTCTGCCATTTAGATGATTACTGTTGGCTTTTAATGCCGCAGTTTCCCCTGAGAGTTTAGTGATTTATGTTCAGTCTGTGGCTTAAGGAGCAGCTTTCAGTAAGAATCTAGGTTGTGTTAGTCACTGCGTTGTCTGCCTCTTTGTAACCCATTTACTATAATATCATTGTTTGTAAAAGTGGGGCCAGGAACATGCTGGAAGATAAAAGTATCTTTCAGATTAATAGTGTAATTGTTCTGTTTTTGGTTATGTAACATTAGTTCTATGAGGCTCTTTATGTAGGACAATACAGCAGGATATCGGTTATATAAATGTGGCCATGTGAAAAGATGATTTATGAAACAAATACTAAGAATCTGCCAACAGGTTCTAGTTTGGCTGACTTTATATTATGTTTTTTCAAATTAATTTCGAGTGCTGTGATTGATTACTGTGACACAAGCGGTACCAATTGGAATTGCTATTGGTTATTCAGATACTGAAGCCCCACCCCAAAATCACACACCATTGGTTGAGCCAGTGTTGTTGTGTTAGGATACAGGATGATTAATTTAAATTAATATATAAAACGTTATATATACTACTGTTCAAAAATGTTCTTTTTTTAAATTAATACTATTTTAGCAAGGATGCATTACTTGTGACTGTAAAGACATTTATAATGTTGCATAAAATTTGAACTTTACACAAAAATATTATGCTGCACAAATGTTTTCAAGATTGATAATTATAAGAAATGTTTCTTGAGCACAAAATGAGAATATTGGAATGATTTCTGAAGGATCATGTGACACTGAAAACTGTAGTACTGATGCTGAACATTCAGATTTGCCATCGTAATAATAATTTTTGAAAATAGAATAATTATAATAATTAAAATATTGGACACTATTCCTATTTTTACTGTATTTTTTATCAAATAAATGCAGCCTTGGTGAGCATATAAGCAAAAACATTTTAAAAATCTTACAGATGCTAAACTTTTGAACAGTAGTGCATAAATGTTTTCTTTTTAACTAAAATATTTTTTTCCAATTAAAATTAGATGCCATTTCATTTAAAGTAAAATTGATTAAATAAATGATTATGACATTATTAAATTTAAAGGATTTTTTTGCCAAAGCAAAAACTACAAATGAAAAATAAATTTGAAAGACAAGGACCTTTAACTCTGTGTGTTTGTGTGTGCAGACGCCAGCGGCCCTCCCAGTACCGTATCCAGTGCCGGGCCCTCGTCTCCATCTGTACCACAGCCCTCATCCAACTTCAGATTCAACAGCGAGTAGAAACATTTTTTACTCTTAGTTCAGTTTCACAGTGTCCGTTTTAAAGGATTGAGGTTAAGATTGATACGGTCCTAGTTATCTACTTGGAAGCTGCTAATATTGTACTATCTGCACTTCTGCCTGAACAATACAGAGCCTCTTTGGCTGGATTCAGCTGATAGTTTGATCTGTCAGCAAATACAGCTCTGAAACCAGTAATTAGCTCTTCCGCTGTACTTCTGAGCTCCGGTCGAGTTGGATAGTAATTATGATCCCAGATTCAGCAGCAGCGAGACAGAGACATTACAGACAATAGTAATTGTCTGTGCTTCTTTTTTTTCTTCCCACCATACAGAGTAATGCAACTCAAATAAATATTCAAAGAAGCATACAAGTCCACATTAAAAATTGATTTAATCATTCAGATCCAATCATATAATTTTAATTGTACCACTATTTTTTTTTAGTTTGTGTATATTAGAATTATTTTATGATTTTTTTATGTTTGATTTCTTTTTTGATCATGTGATTTGTTTTTAGATTTACATAAAAATTGCTGTATTTTTATTATATGAAATGCAAAGGTATTGTTTGAGAATGATTCAAGGGATAGTTCACCCAAAAATGAATATTCTGTCATCATTTACTCACCCTCATGTCATTCACAACCTGTATGAATTTATTTCTTCTGTTGAATATAAAAGAAGATATTTTAAAGAATGTTGGTAACCAAAAAGATGATGGCACCCATTGACTTACATAGTAGTTTTTTTTCCAAACCATGGAAGTGAATGGCTACCGTCAAATGTTTGGTTACCCACATTCTTCAAAATATCTTCTTTTGTGCTCAACGGAAGAAACTCAAACCGTTTTGGAGCAACTTGAAGATGAGTAAATGACAGAATTTTTATTTTGAGCGGGACCCATCCCATAAAATGAATTGCAATAGACTTTTCAAGAATGTTCAGCTGTTTGCAATCTGCTGTTGTGTTTACTCTGTAAAGTTGAAAGTATATTTAATTTTAGAGACTTATATTACTTAATAAAATAGCTTTAAAAGTGTCTGTGATATTTTTTTTACGAATGAAAGGCCTATACTGAATCACTGTGACTTATACCTGGCGTGATTTGTTGTTCTCTCCAACCTAATTGAGGTTTTGAAATTCAATCTGTGGTGCGAGAGTCTCAAAGAGTGTGATGCAAAACAATAATGACTCATGCTGTGCCCTCAGCTGTGCTGCTGTGTTGCTATAGTGACGGATTCTCATCCGCTTATTGACTTCAGCTGAATGAGTGACTGAACGTGTGTGTGTGTGTGTGTGTGTGTGTGTGTGTGTGTGAAGACAGCGAGTCATCGCAGGCAACCCGCGAGCTAAAGATGAAGTCATAAACTGCTCTGTTAGCTCATTTTCATTCACATGGGGACAAATATGCCAAACGTCCAGCGGCTATTTTCCCACAGGGACCTGAGGGAGTGGAATATAATACAGAATCGGTTCTTTTAAGTTAATGATATTGTGCATATTCACTTAGCCTAGTTTGAATTGCATAGTAGCTGCATAATTCATTTCGCAATTTATGCGCGATATAAATTCTGACAGGTTACCGAGACCATTAATCAAATTGAAATAAATTGCTCCCACCTCTCTGCCCTAAAATATCACCTGCTGGTAATAAAAGACATCGTCATAGCAACAAGAAGGCCAGCACTCCGCGACGGTGAGCTGGTGAATAAAGAAGTGTGTCATCGGCCGGTGCTCAGAGACTGCTGTGTTCACGCCATATCGTAATTACCGTAATTTCGAGATGATAGCACGTGACGTTCTACTCGAGCTGTTCACATCCTCGGACGTGGAATTATGCTTTTCTATGGCAACACTATAGAGTGGTGGAACTATGATGTCACTTTGTAGGCAAAAACGCCTAAACAGAGCCTGCGGGGGTCAGGTGGTACAGCGGTCACGTGGTACAAGTTGTTAGGGATGGGCGATACCACTTATTTTGTTTTCGATACGATACCGATATTTTTCAAGGCAGTATCGTCGAACACCTTAGTATTTGTTTGAGTATCGATACTTTCGATACTCGCGTCAGTATCGATATATCGATACTTTGGATCGATACGCTCATCCCTACAAGTTGTAGCTCTCAAAAAACGTCCAGTTCACAAGTTGTAATTACGAGTTCTACGAGGACAAGTTGGAATCTCGTAATTACGGGAATTCCGATATGGTGTGAACGCACCTTTTAGGCTAGCAACCACTTTAGCTCCTGCCAGAAGATTTTGGAAGAGGTGTGGGTTGCTGTGGACGCTCAATTACAGTGTGAGGTAATGTCATTGAGAGGAGGAGAAACTGTTCAAACGACTGTTCTGGGTTCAAACCTCTGTCGACCGTAACACCGTAGATTTCCTCATAAAAAAAACACGGAAGATTCGGTCCTCCGATGGTTAAAGAAAGAAATATTTATATTAATGTCGGAGTTAGGGATGGGCGTATCGATCCGAAGTATCGATATATCGATACTGACGCGAGTATCGAAAGTATACTCAATATACTCAAACAAAAAATATCGATACTAAGGTGCGTTTTATTTACCAGTGGTTTTGTTTATTTAATAATAATAATAATAATGCGTACAATATGCATTGAATTGGACGAATAACCTTTGTTAGCGAGTAATTGTGTAGGATATAACTATTTTCCTGCTCATCTGGACACACAAATGTTGCAAGACAGAACTAATCAATCAGAGAGCGTTCACTCACTGCTGACAGTGCATTCAAACAGGGCTGCGTTTCCCAAAAGTATCATAAGAAAGCTTATTGGGAATTAAAGCTTTAAAGCTTTTGGGAATGGCAGCCCTGAACAATGCTTATCAGAGGACAGAAAAAACCCCATAAATGTTTGAGTTATTTCACAATAAACAAACTGAAACTGTAGCCTACATAGTTTGTGAAATTACAGTTATTTAAATTGAACGTTGAAAGATAATATTGATCATGTTCTATTCTGTAATGTTAATAGAAATCATACACTGTCAGAATAAAAATGTTGCATTTTATGCATGCAACAGCCATTCACTGGCAGTCCCTAATGGCAGTACAAAATATTGCACTAAATCAAAAGTTCAAATGTTACAAATAAGTTAGAATATTAATGTTGTAATACTGGTAAGCACTAATATAAAAATGTGATGATATATGTTACAAAAAAGTAACAATTTTGAAATACGTTGATGGTTGTATTTTTTTGTATTTGATCTCAGTATTCCTATCAATGTTGTATAAGGTTTTTTATCCATAATAGTAACCCTAGAATATGATCAAACAGTTTAAAATAGCTGGGCTAAGATATATAACAATTTTTAAGACGGCAGAAATATGTTAATTCAGTATACACATTATCCCACCGGTTACAATTGTGACTGACCATAAAATACAATTTTTCACACTTTTCCAAAAAAAAAAATTATTGATTATTTCAAAGGGTTACTAATGACACATCATTTGGATATTTTCATATCCAAATCCATATTAATTTGGGATTAAACGGGTTAAAATGCGTTTTAAACATAAAGTTAAGTGGTTTTCATTACCCATTTTACTCTTAGTAATTTAATAATTTCATAAATTTCATAATTTAAAAGTTTAGTGCAGAAGTATCGAATCGATATCGACGATACTGCCTTGAAAAATATCGGTATCGTATCGAAAACAAAATAAGGGGTATCGCCCATCCCTAGTCGGAGTGTTTAAACTTTAAAAGCGTTAAAGCTTACGTTACTGATATAATTCGTGGTTTTTAACTTGTATTATCCTAAAGCTTCCGCTAACAAAAATAGTCCATTGTACAAAACAATGAGTCTAGTAACAAGAGGAACACCGATGTTACATTACAGTGATATTAATACTCAGTCCTCTATTAATAATCAGTAATTAAGTAATTTTCAATATAATCAATATCTGCGACTAAGAAACAGGGATGGAAAATGTGCGGAAAAAAGCGAGTGCTCGGCACGATACAAAAGTAGCACTGTAAAACCAGCATATGCTGGTTAGGTATGTTTTGAAGCTGGGATGCTGGTTTATGCTGGTCCTTTGCTGGCTTATGCTGGTCCTTAGCTGGTCATGTAAAACCAGCTTAAACCAGCTCAAACCAGCATCCCAGCTTCAAAACATACCTAACCAGCATATGCTGTTTTTTTTTCAACAGGGCGGTAGTTTACTTGAATGAGCGTTAACTTTTTAAAGGGGTGGTTGATTGCGATTTCACTTTTTTTAACGTTGAGAATCACTCACCAGCTCAGCTCCAACAATTAACTGTTCAAATTATACACTTTATGCGTATAGACAGATATTTGTACATAGCTATGAGAAGCGTTAAACATGGCATGCGGTTGCCGTGCTGTATTAAAGCTTTCATCAGGATAAAACCAGTGCTTAATTTGTAAATTGCGAGGTCCCGGAACAAAGTGGGGTGACGGATCCGGCATGATTAGAGGAGGGCGAGGTAACGGAGCATTCGCGCAATGGAGGACCAGTTTACGTGATTAACAGCCTGCATCTTCTTACGGTCATGAAAAAAATTGAAAAGTCATGAAATTTTAAAACAGCCATTTCCAGGCCTGGAAAAGTCATGGATTTTTTTCCTTAAATCTCTATATAATAGAATTATGTTTAATCTGCGTTCGAGTTTATAATGAGGGAAATTCCTGCAAACATATTCACTAGAGCATGTAGGTTAGATGAGTAAATAAATCCACACATACTATCAGATTAAATCAGTCATTTGAAAACCGCGTGAGTGATTCAGCTGTACCGCGTCTTCTCTCACTCTCAAAGCTGCTTCACAACAGCGCATCTCGTCTGCACTACTGAACACTGCGATACAAGTCTTTTGCTCAGGTTTCGGGACAGTCGACAGAATTGTCACTTGCCTAATCGAGTCATTTTTGCATCGTCACAAAACTGTATCGTAAGTTTAAGCCATTCGATACTCGCATGCTCCAAAGGGGGTTTTCTATGCGCTCACAGTCACATCCATAGCGCGCATATCGTGCCGCCTCGCGAGTACCAAATTGAGTAAGCACAGTCGGTTTTGTCTTAACTAAATGTAAACATCTGAGAAAGAAAACGCATTTGTATCAGTATTGGATCCGTGCATTCGGGTTTGTGAGAGCAGCCACGTCGCATTTCTTTGCACGCTCAAGTTTGTCGTTTCAAATGTTGATGCTAGGCAAGCCTGCTCATAATAGAATTTTTTTTCATGAAATATATGCACGCTATAGGTCAACACAAACATCTTTCATTGGCGCGTGAGGAGGGGATCTGTCAAATGAGGTGCCGGATCAGATTTCGGACAAATTCGGGGGTGCCGGATCAGGATCCGGCTTGTTCCGGCACAAATGAAGCCCTGGATAAAC